GTCACAATAACTACTTTTCTTGGACCGATATATTGTCCCAGAAATAAATGACAATAAATGATATTATTGTCATTTTAAGACCATTTTATGCCACATATGAGTATAACAGCATAATAATGCCACTACACCCTTTCAAAGAGCAACAGATTAAGAATATTCAGACATTCAGAATTGAAATGTCAAAAAAAAGATACACATATCCAAAACAACCTGCATCTCCGTGCAGCTTCAAATCCCACAGAAACAGTTTTGCCTGCCTGAGATTAATTTGTTTCTACTACTGGGCACAGCTCTCTGCAACCCAGTTTTGTTCTGTCCTCTGCACAGCTTCATCCCTCACAGGGGAGCATTTACGAAACAGAGCGTTTTTGCCTGCCTGATTTTGCTGACGTCAGATTTTGTCATTTGTAGGCTACGTAGTTAGATGGTTTCTTTTCTTGTCTGTTTTAATTGGGTTTATTGTTGATATACGATCAGGAGTCTGCACAGGGTGTTGCTTGACGCGGCATATTCTCCACAGAGCAGGGCTTAGAGCTGATTCTGAAATGCTTCTAAAAGGCGCTGCAGCACGAATCGCAAGCATTGTCTAGGACGGCCTATGTTGCGACGTTCATTCTTAGGTAACCAAAAACACATGTAAACACTAGGGCTGGACATTCGATTGTTGGGTACACATTCGATTTTCAATTTTGAGATTATTGTTTTTTCCACTCTTTCTTAGTCCTGCACTTGAGTCTGCTAGCCTTGACATAACAAAGTTTAAAAACTCTTTCTCTCTCACACAAACAGACTTACGCACTCATGCTCGCTGTTATTTCTCCCCAATCAGATTCTCCCTCGCTCATGTCATTGGCAGAACTTCCTGGGCTTTTATTCTTCTTCTGCTGTTCTGTTCTATCTATGAAATACATGGCTGTAGCTCCTGAAATGAATGCCTGCTTATCAACACACGTTTAAACAGTCGGCATAACGGGGTCGCTGAGCGCCCCCCTCCCGCGGAAGGCAAAGCTTCAAGGCTGGAAAAAAAAGACATTCGGGCCAGCCCTAGTGAACACAATGGGCAATATTAAGGTCAGCAAAAAAGATTGAGGTTATGTCGATATGTCATCCGATAAGTCAATAATGTAATTATTATGACAGCAAAGGCAATCACTAAACCTTCAATGTTTAAATACAGTTTTATACGACCAGCAGGCGTTTAAAGTCTGTGTGTGTGAACGCTGCTCCATGTGCCTGGTTTGTTCGACACCAACATTTGTTTTCACTGCTTTACCTGCTCCGTGAATGTAAAATATCCACCGCGTCGACATCTTCTAACGTAAAATCATAATGTCTCTCTCTCTCTGTTTCTCTATTAAATACACTTTGTCTGTGTGGGAAACGCAGCTTATTTTGGCCTTCTGGCTTTCCTGGACTGTGCTGTCCACGTTGAACAGGACAGGAGCCTGCGAATTGGAGTGTACATGAAAACACACGGATCCATACTTACTTTTTGATTCCCACCACCCACTGGAGCACAAGCTAGGGTTCATCAGAACCCTGCAACACAGAGCAGATCACATCCCAACAAGTGTAAAAGCCAGAGAGAAGGAACAGAACCACCTGAAGGGGGCACTTACAGCCTGTAGATACCCTAAATGGACCTTTGTGAAAGCAGCCACAAGATCCAAGAAGAAGAACAAAACTACAGGGGAGGAAAAGAAGGTCAAACGCAACAACATTGTGATTCCATACGTGTCTGGAGTATCAGAGAAACTCAGGAGGATTTTCAACAAACACAACATCCCTGTGTTTTTTAAACCCAAGAACACACTAAGACAGATGCTGGTCCACCCCAAAGACCGCACACCCAAACACAAGAAAAGCAATCTAGTGTATGCGGTCCAATGCAGTGAGGAATGCACAGACCTGTATATTGGGGAGACTAAACAACCACGACACAAACGCATGGCTCAACACAGAAGGGCCAACTCCTCAGGTCAAGACTCTGCAGTCTACTTACATCTGAAGGACAGAGGACACTCGTTTGAGGACCACCAGGTGCACATTTTAGACAGAGAAGATGGATGGTTTGAAAGAGGTGTCAAGGAAGCATCTACACCAGGGTTGAGAAGCCGTCATTGAACAGGGGAGGGGGTCTACGCCACCATTTATTCCCCACTTACAATGCTGTCCTTTCATCACTTCCCAGGAAACTCAACAAGCATTTCCTCTTAGCCTCAGGTGAAGATGCCAACGATTGTCCACAGGTGGCTCTAACGACCATGACGTCCGTCGTTACCACAGCCAGGAGCACTAACAAACCAGCGGTATCGACAGTCCTAGCTAACGAACCCAGAGGTTAAACAGCTGAGTTTCCCTCCCAGTCAGTCAGAACTGAAGAAGTCTCTTGGATGAGGGACGAAACGTCTTCTAGTATTTTCAACCAAGTCCAGTTGCCCTTGACCTCATCCTTCGTTGGATGACATTAGGAATAGGCCTAATGATAAAATGTCGCTACTTCTCAGCTGATTTACCTCAGTAAACCCTTTTTAAATGAGTTTATGGTCTCAGTCGCTAGTTTCAAGTCTTCTTCAACCCAGCATGATGCTCATTTAGTAAATTATGGTCCTATTTGGGGGGAAAATAGACATAAAGCAGCGTATGCTGTGGGCGCGACTTGTATCCGCTGCTCTGTGTACATTTTTTTTAATTAAATGGCTGTCAGCAGTAGAGAGAGCACGTCATGTTTGACTCTGTTAGTATGTTGTGTTTTAAAAGTAAATTGTTTTGTATATTTATAATTTTAACTGTGATCAAACTTACATTTCAGTTTATTTATTTATTTTAAATATCCAGGATGTATTTATTAATCGATTAAACATTAAGGTAAGAATGTTTAGGAGATATTTACTTGCAAAGTGAAGGGTTTTACAGCTTTTTGGAGATTTCATCAATGTGTCACATGGTCAGCTAGAGTGTGGAGAGAGGGATTTGGTTGACCAGTCACGCATATTCACCTCCATAAGCAGAAAAAGGCATAAAAATATAGCAACAAGCCATTTCTCAGCTAATCAAGCTCTAACTAAAAATACCAAAATGATATCTGAAAAGCTTTTCAGATGCAGTTTTCTATGAACAAAACATCAAATTAAGGTAAACTGTAAAAAGTGTGCTTCAATAGCTCAGATGGTAGAGCAACAGTCTTCAAAGCAGCACATGGTCCCAGACATGGCTTCAGTTCTCACCTCAGCCGGCAGAGTTAATTGATCACCGCTTTCTACTTTACACACCCGTATGGTGTTTGAACTTAATGCTGCCAACAAAATATTTACCTTCCACTGACTTGCAGTGGTTGTTTTTAAAATCACAATAATTTTCTGATTTTTTTTCTGATTTATTTATACTATTTATCAAACTTTGAAATTGTTTTTTTTTTTTTAAATGATTATGCAAAATGATGAAATGAAAAATGGTGGTGTTCAGTCAGGAGACGCAGTGACTTAAACTAATGGTGAGAAAAGAATAGATAAAGTATCCGGTAACCCAGACGTGGACACGGTGAATATTTTACAAGCATCGCCCAGCCCTAATTTACAGCAACTAGTAGCGAAATCAGATCAACTTCTAAACAGGAGATATTTCATAAGGGAAGATGCTGTTTTGCTAATCAGGAGCTTAGCTACAGCGTGAATCTGCAGTTGCACGCAGGGAAATAAGAATTTGCATTAAAACAGTAATTAATTAGTTTATTTGTCCAATAATCTGTCCTTTAAATTTATATTGTTTAGTTTGTGTTTGCTGACAAAATGTTATTATAGTTCTCATTTTTAAAGGTTGCTTTTTTTTTTAGTTATAGTCGGGCTGGACAATTTAATAGAAAAGTAATGGAAACCGAACTTCTGAGCCTCTAACTGATGTAATTTTACCATGACGGTTATTTCAGTTATTTACAAATATTTTCCCTACAGTGTGTGTTCATGTGCTTTCCCCTTAAAAACATACTACTGTGTGTGTGGTCACGTGACTCCGCCCCGTCCAGTCCTGCTGAGCTTCCAGTAAGGCAGAGGTTAGCTGGCGGTAATCGTGACAACAGACGTCCATTTTATTAACAGACACGCTGTCACCTACACTGTACATTCACTGCTAAACTGACAACAAACTTGCTCTCTTTTCCCGTCACTTTGCTGCCGCTCGCTCTCTCTCATTCACTCCTCCACCCACTCGCTACGCACACACACTGCGCTCCTTAAGAGACCTGGCGTAAACTCTGCTGCTCTTATAACTGCAGCTGTCACATAACTTAGATGTTCTTTGATGAATGAAGAGAAGAAGCTAGCAAAGCGTGTGTTGTTGTGTTTGCACAGTGTGCTGGTTCCACATTGACATTAATAACTGAGTAAAATTTTAGTAGCAGCGGCGAATATAGGAGAACCATGTCTCCATAATGTGGACGTCAACATTACCTTATCAATTAACATTCAGATGATCGATTTTTTTTTTTTTTTTTTACCTGTGAATCAAAAAAATAACTAAAACTCAGCTTTAATAATTGAGCATATTACAGTACAAACCTTGTCAGTGAATTATGAGGGCAAAAAAGTTATAGTCTTGTTTTGGTTATAAAAGTACAATTAACATGGCTGTTAAAAATATTTTCTGCTGAAATGCAGAATAGTATAAAATGGAAAATGAAGACAATTAAAGTACAACTGCCTCAAAATTGTACTTAACTACAGTACTTGAGTAAATGTACTTAGTGAAGTAAAATATTCTTCCACCACTGCTTTACACCGACACTCTCCATTAAGGAAAAGGTGAGTAAAAGGCACGAGAATTAATTTTATGTTGCAGCCTTCTGGTGTAGAATGACAAATAACATGTACCTCATTCCCTATGAGAGAGGCCCATGCATGGGTTTGTCTAGGGCCCCCAAATCACTAAATCTGCCTTTGGCTCTAGTGAACGCTGCAGTCATGATATCGAAGTGTAATGTTTTATTATTATGTTTTGTTTTACAGTGGGGACTGAACATGGTCAGGAGGCCATTGAAAGCGCTGCTGTCTTTCTGTTTGAAACCTTCCACAACAAAGACCATGTGGGTACAGAGGCGACCCGGGCCATTAAACAGATGTTTGGTCCCTTTCCGTCTTCTGCAGCTGAAGCCTCCTGTGCCTGTGTGGCTCAGCTGGTGGCTCCATTTGGAGACTCCCGTGTTGAAGAATTTATCCAGGCCCATACCTCCCGCCACGTCCCCCACCGAGTCTCCACTTTCGGACGCAACATCGCCTTCTCGTATGACTGCTACACACTGGACCCACTGGAGGACTTGCCCTGCACTGGCATCCATGAGGAGAACGTAAGCCTGGACTTCATTAACTTCCTCAACAACCAGCAGAGCGGGAGGAAGATCGCTGGTGAGGAAGAGGTGTCCGGCTCAGGAAGATCTCCGAGCTCTGGAGATGGAGCTATCCTTAGAACAGAGGTGGAGAAGCACCTGAACGGAGGCAACATGATCTCATCCAGCCCGGAGGAGCTGTGCACCTCCCTGTTTGAAATGCTGGCCTCCCACAAGAGCAACGATGAGCTGCAGAATGAGGTTTGTTTTTACTGGGAAATGCAGTATACATTAGATTGTATCTGATAAATAGTTTTTTGAGTGATGATGGTGATGAGGGCAGCCTATGTATATACCTGTAAAGCCATCCGAGAGCAAAAACACATCCCCAGAGTCATTGCTCTTGTAAAGGGTACTGCTGAGTGCATAGTCTTAACACCTTCTTAATGATTTTTAGGTAGCGTGACAGTTCATCTACAGTGGGTCTGGTTGAACTAGATAGCATCACAGAAAAGAGCTATACTCGACTGTGTGAGATTGTCCCTTGTAGCCCATAGTTCTGTCTTTACTGTTCAGTCACTTCTAGGCTGCTCCTTCGCAAGAGCAATTGTTAGCACCAACCTGTATCTGTGGAAAACACAGACTCAAGATCCACAAAAATCCATTTAGTCACAAAATTAATTCAAGGGATGTATTTTCATAGCTTTTTTGTGTATTTGTCCAAAGAGGTTGTATAAAGTTTTCAAGAATTGAATCATTGCGTAGGTGCATTGTGGGATTCTTTGTAGTTTCTTTATGAAACCCTGTTGACGTCATATGAAAAGGACAACTGCTCACTGATCCGCTGACTGAGTGCTGCTTGATAACCTTAACACAAAGGTTCCTTTACGCCTGCTGTTTAACACCTAGCTGATGGGAAAATGCAAGTTTTCAGACAAATAGTTGGAGGACAAGTTTGAAACATGGTTGAGTGAGGTGTCCTGTTCTGTGAATCGGAAGGCAATAATTGTAGTTTCGATGGGGATCACTGCTGTCCGTCCCACATGCTAAGCATCATAGCATCAACAAGGCTGGACTGTTTGTGTTGTTATTTGATGAGAGCCTGAATCAAGTGAAATTATTATAACTAAATTAAAATTAAAGTATGTAACATTATGGTGAAAAGGTGCCACAGTCGCATCAACAGGAGAACAGATCTGATAGCAGCACAGAAATCCTGAGCGCTGCACTGACTTATTCTGTTATAGTCGGACTATAGATTTTGAATCGTCAACTGCCACCTGAATTTTGTGTTTGTCTTTATATAAGTAAACAAAAAAATCACCATAAACTGGTGCAGGAAAATTCATCAGAATGCAGGAAAGAAAGTGTTTAATGCTTAAAATTTTCATGTAATTCAGCATTAAAAATTTCTTAAAATGTCGTCTCGTCTCCATCTCGTGAATCCAATCTCAAATCCCGTCTCGTGGGTTAAGTGGCTCGTCACACCCGTTGTGTGTGTGTGTGTGTGTGTGTGTGTATACAGTGAGGAAAATAAGTATTTGAACACCCTGCTATTTTGCAAGTTCTCCCACTTAGAAATCATGGAGGGGTCTGAAATTGTCATCGTAGGTGCATGTCCACTGTGAGAGACATAATCTAAAAAAAAATATCCAGAAATCACAATGTATGATTTTTTAACTATTTATTTGTATGATACAGCTGCAAAGAAGTATTTGAACACCTGTCTATCAGCTAGAATTCTGACTCTCAAAGACCTGTTAGTCTGCCTTCAAAATGTCCACCTCCACTCCATTTATTATCCTAAATTAGATGCACCTGTTTGAGGTCGTTAGCTGCATAAAGACACCTGTCCACCCCATACAATCAGTAAGAATCCAACTACTAACATGGCCAAGACCAAAGAGCTGTCCAAAGACACTAGAGACAAACTTGTACACCTCCACAAGGCTGGAAAGGGCTACGGGGAAATTGCCAAGCAGCTTGTTGAAAAAAGGTCCACTGTTGGAGCAATCATTAGAAAATGGAAGAAGCTAAACATGACTGTCAATCTCCCTCGGACCGGGGCTCCATGCAAGATCTCACCTCGTGGGGTCTCAGTGATCCTAAGAAAGGTGAGAAATCAGCCCAGAACTACACGGGAGGAGCTGGTCAATGACCTGAAAAGAGCTGGGACCACCGTTTCCAAGGTTACTGTCGGTAATGCACTAAGACGTCATGGTTTGAAATCACGCATGGCACGGAAGGTTCCCCTGCTTAAACCAGCACATGTCAAGGCCCGTCTTCAGTTTGCCAATGACCATTTGGATGATCCAGAGGAGTCATGGGAGAAAGTCATGTGGTCAGATGAGACCAAAATAGAACTTTTTGGTCATAATTCCACTAACCGTGTTTGGAGGAAGAAGAATGATGAGTACCATCCCAAGAACAGCATCCCTACTGTGAAGCATGGGGGTGGTAGCATCATGCTTTGGGGGTGTTTTTCTGCACTTGGGACAGGGCGACTGCACTGTATTAAGGAGAGGATGACCGGGGCCATGCATTGCGAGATTTTGGGGAACAACCTCCTTCCCTCAGTTAGAGCATTGAAGTTGGGTCGAGGCCGGGTCTTCCAACATGACAATGACCCGAAGCACACAGCCAGGATAACCAAGGAGTGGCTCTGTAAGAAGCATATCGAGGTTCTGGCGTGGCCTAGCCAGTCTCCAGACCTAAACCCAATAGAGAATCTTTGGAGGGAGCTCAAACTCCGTGTTTCTCAGCGACAGCCCAGAAACCTGACTGATCTAGAGAAGATCTGTGTGGAGGAGTGGGCCAAAATCCCTCCTGCAGTGCAAACCTGGTGAAAAACTACAGGAAACGTTTGACCTCTGTAATTGCAAACAAAGGCTACTGTACCAAATATTAACATTGATTTTCTCAGGTGGTCAAATACTTCTTTGCAGCTGTATCATACAAATAAATAGTTAAAAAATCATACATTGTGATTTGTGGATATTTTTTTTTAGATTATGTCTCTCACAGTGGACATGCACCTGCAATGACAATTTCAGACCCCTCCATGATTTCTAAGTGGAAGAACTTGCAAAATAGCAGGGTGTTCAAATACTTATTTTCCTCACTCTATATACAAATATATATCTATATCTATCGATCGATCTATCATCGGCCCAGTTACAGTATAGTTCAACACACCAGAGAAGCCGCCCCACACTAAACTCCTTTTAAGAGCTCATGTCAGCAACATGTCATGTCTCTTGTTTTACCTGTAAGCTGACGTTTTAATGCCTTTGCTCATCATCTGTGATGTGGAAACATCAGATTTCTGCACAGTCAGAGAAATAAAAAGTGGGTATCCTGGTCTTAGTTTAGTTATAGCGCTCCACAGAGCATCTCTCCTGATTGGCTGCTGACAGGTCTGGATTGCAGTAGAAGAGGTTGTAACAGGGTCTGGTTCAACTCTGGTATTGCTGAGTTGGCTAAAACCAAAGCTGAGAGCATAAGAACAGGCAACAGAGACGAGACGCGCTGCCCTCTGTTTCCACCTTCTCTATTTACTTTACAGTGAGGTCATTTTAACAGACTTGGGAGTGTATAGCCTGTTATGCAGCTTTCTCATGTACAGTTTAAAAAAAGCATAATAATTTGACTGACAAATCCGGGGTCTTGTCAACACAGTATTTCTGTGACATGAAGTTTGACTGGTCCCAATGTTAGGCTTCATAACTTGGGCTCCTATTGATTTTATGACCTTGACCTTCAACAACGGGCCTTTTGTGTTTGATAAAGGTGCTGAATATATCATGTCTTGGCTGTTAGACCAAGTCATCCTTGGCCTTTACCTCCAGACCTTTAGTAGACAACTTTCTACATGGCGTTGACCTTCATTGGTAATAAAGATTTGGAGGTAGGATATTTTGCATTGACTAATTAATGATTCAAAGCAATTGTATAAATAATATTTAAGTTTTTGTTTCACTTCACTGTTTACTGCTTGGCTTTAGTAGTGACTGATGTATCCCTCCCATCAATATCAACTTCAGTTGACAAAGAAGCAGTTAGCAGTAGTGGTTGCTTGGAACCACTTGTTGTTGACAGGCCAATCCGCCTGTCAGTCTTTTGCTCCATTTTAGCCTCACTTGTGAACAAGACCCTCAAGATGCTTGAGCTCCTTTACTTTCGGGGCAAGTCGCTCACAATTCAGACGGAGCAATCTACCCTTTTTCCAGCAGAGAACCATGGCCTCAGAATCGGAGGTGCTGACGCTCATTCAGACAGTTTCACACTTCACTGGAAACCGTCCCAGTGCATGCTTGGTCTGATGAAGCAGATGGAACCACATCATCTGCAAAGAGCAGAGAACGTAGCGTAATCAAAACAGCAGAAATGTCAGTGATATAAACAGGTGACGTTCAAGCCCCAACCTACTCAGAGAGTCAGAGGTCACGTTAACCAAGTATTCTCCATCACTGACTGAAAAGTACTTATTATACGATTTACTCGATGAATCGGTGAAATAATAATAATGTAGAATACTCGATTACTCAAATCGCCATTAGCTGCAGCCCCAATAAAGATGTACAACATTCGAATGTTCATTCAGAATTTAAATGTTGACGTTATGAATGAAGCTACAAAGTATTCGGTACAGCCCTACCCGGTAGTTGTGTCTCACCCTGTGGAAACCTCCAGAAGTTATTTACCATCCACTACCTTTACTAATGAATCAGGAAAGGGCTCTATCATTCTTTCCCCCTGCATTTTCATCCACTTCCTTTCTCTGCTGTCCTCATACTTTTGCAGCATCTCTTTCTCTATCAATTGTTTCACCACAGAATCAGAATTATAAAACTTCAGCTGGTTTCCAGTTGCTTCCAATGTTTCTCACGTAGTTGGCATTTGGAAGCAAACTCTCCCACTGACATCTTTAGATGTAGCATGTCCTGTATGTGTGTGTGTGTCTGTGTGAGAGAGAGCGAGCGAGCGAGCGAGAGCACCTGCAGACTTTCCATGCATCTACCTCAGTGTGACTCCAAAGTCAACAGTAAAGTTTAAAGGCTCTGCACTCAGTACCATTAAAGCTGACAATGGACCGACCCTGCTTCTTATTATTTCCCATTGCTGAACCTCGATTGCTGACATTTTATGGTAGTCGCTGAGCTCCGGAGGGTGGTACGGTGGAAAAGCCAGAAATAGCCTACAGTGGTGGCCTTGAATATACCTGGGTGGTAGGGTTGGGCCAATAGAGGATGCCATCGGTGGCTGACAGACATCACAATGTTGAGCCGACATTGTGATTGTGCGGCTGCTTTTAGGCGATCTAGTTATTCAAGTTTCAGCCCTAGACCGGTTTAAAGCAAGGCCAGGTTTTATTTTATATTTTGTCAGATACATTTTTTAGAGGTTACAAAGAAACTGCATAAATTAGATGATTAGAGTTGCAATGCGAAATAAAAATGTGAAGTAATTTATGATTTAGTGAATATATGATTAATACAGTCAAATAAAATCAAACACTCTATACCCTATTGCTTGTTCTTTTCTATCGTGTCGTTTGACATTGAATCGCATTGTGTTGAATCGCAATAAGGGTGAATCGTATTGCACCACATCGGTAGTTGCTTCATATGTATCTTTAATGTATTTGATCGTTGGCAATCCAGCGAGACGCATATTGCATCGGCCGAGTAATAGATGCACATCTTTAGTAGGTATATATCATAGGTAGGCTATATAAGTGCGGTACGTACTAGCTAGGAGATATAAGTACTGCTATAGCTTATAATTAGCTCTCCTATAACCTGGCCATGTAGGAACCTTGTTTTTATGTGCCGCTTGGTAGGTGAGGGCGCAGGGCACTGTGCAGTTGTGGGACAGACAACAATGCAAAAAGTACAATCGTTAGCAGTATTTATAGAGGAGAACTCCAAAGAGAGTACTCCAAGGCTGGCTCCTGACCAGCTGACCAGGAGAAGAAAATCATTTCTCTGCCGCCTTTCCAGTCTAGCGATGCAGCCTTTGGACGCGCTGCGCTGCTACTAAGTGGAAGAAATGGCTCACCATAGGAAATGTCACCAGCAGCTTGCACCTGGGGACCCATGAAGGAAGGAAGTTTAATGTACAGTGTTTTTTTACACATTTATAAATATATTTATAACTAAATATTTATTTTCACTGGCCCAGATTTAGAAGTAAAACTGAACATCCTGCACATTTAAATTCTAATATGCCTCAAATATTTAAACCAATGATATGCTGGGGGAATTGGTCTCAGAAGAGAGAGACTTGTCCAGTGGTGACTTAGTTCAAATAAAGCTTTAGTTGTTCCAGTTATGGGCTAAAATATACAGTAGGCAATGCTGAATATTTAATCACAGATGAAGCAGGAGAACACAGTGGGAGGACAGACATTTCCACTTCTGACCTGTAGCCTTGCAGATGTTCAGTTATTACACAGTTAATGCTTTAGAACTGGGCTTGCCTGCAGGATGGTGGACTGTGTAGAATCCATCAGAAGGAGAAAGTCACCTCTCAATCCCAGTGGAACCCGCACCTAATCAGTCAACTCCAAGGACAGAATTTACGAGAGTTCATTAAAAACAAATCCTTTGAGCAGGTAAAACCCCGGCTCTCTCCAACACCTCCCACCCTCTCTCAACATACAGGACTCTCAACTGTAATGAAACCGGGACATTCATAGGGACCAGTAGAAGTTTAGAACAGATATAAAAGAGACCACCGAGGGAACAAAGATAACCCCAACAAAGACTATAGCTGACCTGACATCAAAGTGCGTCTGTTGTTTTAGCTCCCTGCTGTGCTGACTTCCCAAGGGAGGACAGAGTGAAAGAGCAAACCGTAACGCCATCCTCAAACCTACACGGGAAGGGGATGGGGAAAAAAAATAGTGCATTGTTTTAAGGTTGAAATTACGTACCCCGGGCCCTCAGGTCTACTATTTTCCAATTAAAGAGCACAAACGTTATCATCACTTCCACTTCTGTCTCACAGTAATAGTGATGACAGTCTGTGCGGCCTTGTCTCTACTATGCTTTTAATTGTGTGCTGCTGCAGTGCACAGGATTTCTTGTTGTTGTTTTTCTGTCACTTGCTAAGTGCCAGGTGGCTATGTTTGGGAGGCTAAGCGGCAGAGCATATTCTGTACCAGCGATGGTAATTACCAGGTGCTCAGCCAGGCAGTAGCAGCGTGTTGGGGGGTGTTGGGGAGCCATAGGATGTGTATACATGTTGGGATGTGTGTGTGTGGCAGTATGTTTGCTGCTGCTGTAGATGACTGTATTTTTGGCTTGAGGTTACTGATTTTTTTTTTTTTTACCTCCCACTCTCTCCCTCCAGCTGTTTGAGCTGCTGGGCCCGGAGGGGCTGGAGATGATCTCCACCCTCCTCCTGCGGAGGGCCGCCATCGTTGACTCCCTCCTCACCATCCCACCTGACAGGACTGGCTACCCACCAGGTGAGACAGCCCCATGGCAAACAGGGCATCTCCATGGTAACACAAACTCCAGTTGTATTGACTATTTAAAATAGTCATGAATACCAGATATGAACGTATGTTGATTTAAAAAAAACACCACATGAAGTCTGAAGTCTTATAAATAAAGATAAATTGGCTGGGCTGATATATCAGAAGATATTAACTTATCGCACATATACTGTATCTGTATCGGAGTGTATGTCATATGTAAACCAGGAGAAACGTGTTTATTTTCCCACTGTAAAATGTCCCACTCACTAGCCTACATATATAAGTTATGACTCGAATAAAAATGTTTTAAAATGAAACTGTGGCCACAAGTGACAATAACGGGACAGTGGTAAATGGTCAAATTAAATTAGAGATGAGCAAAAAGTCACAAAGTCACATCAGTAATGTTAGTTACACAGGAAGCAGGTTTGCTGACATTAGCCGCAGACACTGTAAGCTAGTGGTCATTAGGGCTGTACATATCGATTATTTTTCAAGTCGATTAATCTAACGACTAATTTTGTTTATTCTAAAGAAAGAAAAGTTGCCTATTACTCGATTAACATACCAATTTATCCAAAATAAATATAAAAACATGTCTAATCAATAAATCTATATTTTATTCAATCATCCCGATGAAGCACATTAGAATAATGACAATAACGTCAAATCTTAAAATGAATCAAAATGTGATAATAACAATAACAGACATTAATTAGGCTACTTTACTTAAAACTTTACATGTTTCTGCCATGGATTCATTTTAATATTGAGTAATGCAGTATGATAATAAAATGTATTTCTGCATCAGTGAACACCTGAAAGGACTCACAGACTGTTCAGACACAGATTGTCTGTAATTAGATTCAGCTGTTTTCTCGCTCATACGTGGCCGTTAAACAAACAGAAAATATGAAACAGCTGAACATTAGATGACTCGCGGTGTAACGTTACGTTACCATGACAGCGGCGGGACAGAAATTACTTTTAACATGAAGGCAATGAAGAAACACTACGTGTCCTCGTGCTGATAATGTGACACGATTTGCGGTGCTGCCGTCTAGACAAAGTGCTGCGGGATACTTTCGTTTCACGTGTTCGTGCTGCTTCACGTATTTGTGGACAGCAGTTGTGCTGCAGTGAAGCTGTTTCCAGTTCAGAGAGCTCACGGAGCAGCAGTCTGTCTGAAATACTCCAAACTTTAGACGGTCGAAGGCGCGGTCTTGTAGCTGGAGCTTGTCCGGGAGAATCCCACACCGGAAGCAGCGATGTATTTACGTAATCAATTACGTCAACCCTAGTGGTCATACTAGACAAGGTGAGGTTGTAGCATCAGGACCTTTACACTCTTTCTTCAATGGATCCAATGTTTTGTGTTTATGTTAAAATAGCAATATTGGAAGATTTTCTTCACCTCTCAAAGAACAATATCTGTTTTGGCCTCCAGCACCAGTCAGGGTATAATTACAGACTAATAATTAGATATTTCCTCCAGATTGTGCACCTTGATGGCAATTTGCCATTAGCGATATGTCTTTGTCTATATCTTTCTTTTGCTAAGAGTAAACCGCTAAAGCCAGCCTCTCATCAGGACGGAGAACAACAATTCAGACACGTACCACTGCTCCTGGATTTGTGACGTAGGGGTTAAAAAAATGATCACTGTCAGCGCTTTATTTGGGATGAAGGGACTGTGTATCTTTGTTCCATTTTACCCTTCTGTCTAAATCCATATTTAGATATTGCCACAACCAAAACAAAGCTATCAAGCATCATTATCTCTCTGGATCTTTCCGATTGTTTGATCTTGTAATCAGTATTCATCTTTCACATCTCAGGAACCTGGAAGATTGCTCTGTGCCCCCTGTGCTCTGGGTTTTAGAGATAAGGACTGGCTTATCTGTAAGGTCTATTGTGTCTATGATTGGTGTCTATGAAGAGTCAGATCTAATATGGACAAATGTGTTTAGACCATGCATATGGGAGTGATATCTTCTGACAATGTCCAGTGCTTTGTAATAATGGTGCTCACGGTTGGTTATTTTAATCGTGTGCAAATTCACCCCGAGTGTTACAAATGACATACCAATTCTGTTTGAATTTTTTCCCTTAGTTTGGTGAAGACAGAAGTGCCCAAAACTGTTCATCTTGCATATGTTGGAGTAATTTTAGCTTTGTTTTAACATGGCCTCTCTTCAACTGTGAGGCCACTTCTCTCTTGCTGTTGGTATAATAAAAGAGATTAGACATATTTTTGAGGAACCAAGAAATGCCAAATCTTCACTTTATACATTTACGTCTTGTGCACTGAAAATTTTGTTTGTGTCTTAATGCCTATTTTGGATGTAACCAAATATTATTACAATATGTAAGTAACAGATACAAAAAGCATCAGATTTGCACGGTAATATGTAAAAACATTCTTTTTCCCCACATACACAACACAATTTTGCATAACACATGCACCACTTCGAACATATTCAAATTCATTACAATAAAGTACAGCTCTTAATAAATGAAGGAAAACTTTGGCAACAGCAACAATAGCTTTATTTGTATAGCATTTTCCAATACATGTAACGAAGTCAACATACGAATAATGGAGAAATAAATTATGCATCACACATTGAAAGCTTTTTTGTGAAAGTCTTAAGAAGTGAGATAAAACCAGGAACAAATTGAGCCTGATCTCCTCTGCTAGACTTTTGGGGTGTGGGGGCCCTGACACCAAAGGTTTGTTCTCCTTTGGTTTTTAGCCTAGACCTTGGAATAGTTAGCAACACTATATCATAGAATCTCAGTGTGTGTCTTGTCTCATAGTGGGATAAAAGCTCACTGATATATTAAAGTGCTAGCCCATGCCTGGCCTTCCTAAAAGAAACCGCAGCTAGTGCAAGGATGCTAAAACTGGTGTACAACATTAGTTATGCCGTGCAGGATAAAGCTTGACTGATGCGCATTTTTCCTGATGCTCAGATATTGAAGATATCTCGACAGTGGACAGATTGATGTTAGCAAAATTAGTCTGTCTAGATCAGTGGTTCTCTAGGCAAGGTCCGGGGTCCTTGGGGGTTTCCAGGGGGTCCCCAGCTAAAGGGGAATATTTCATTTTATTATAATTCCATCCATGAATAATACAATGAAAGAATATGTGGCTACTTTAGTCATGGGTTTCTGTAATAAAACATCTAAAAGTGAAAGTCCTATCAGAAGTGGGACCCTGGGACCAAATTCTATCAAATGGGGGTCTAATTTGTGTCAGTATAGGGGTCCTTGATGTGAAGAAGTTTGAAAACCACTGGTCTAGATTATTGCCCTTAACATGCATAGGCCTCACACACTTCCAACGTAAATAGTAGTACAGATATGCTTGTGAAATGTCCAGATATTACCTGATGTTAAACCGCCATTGCCTATCACGACCAGTGTATCAGTATGTTGTTTAAGCTGTGTAACGCTCCTGTTTCGTATGTGCTAGCGAAGCAGCCGAATCCATTGAAAGGCTATTACCTAAAGATTGGCCTTTCACTTCAACTCAATTCTTCATTATTTCTTTCACGTCTTTATGCCATCTACCAGGAATGATGAAGACCAGTCTAAAGCCTCCCTTGCGGGCAGGCTCTCTATTTCTGTCCCTGCTTTAATACCTCTCATGAATAAGAGAAATAATAGAATATCATGCCATACTAATAGAGCAAAGGGCTGACACGTGCATGGCGTTGCTAAGGCCCAAATAAGCACAGGCTCTTGTATAGAATAGGATTACACTGGTTTTTGATGTAGATAACTAGCTCTCCTGGCAGTTTAACGCTGAGTTCATTGATTCTGAATAAGATAGTATTTCAGCAGGCTTGATGGTGAGCTGTACTAAAGCAGCCCTCCTATTGATGTACCTACCTTCCATGCCTGTATGTTTTATTTGTTATTTTTTTACTTCAAACGTTGTCCTCCGTCCTGATCCAGCGTTGTTTCAAAACCCTGTTTCCCTTTGTCCTAAGCTGGCAGACTCCTCTTCTTGTTTTTTTTCCCTCCTTAATGTGTAGAGTGGCGCTGTAAGTAGTTGAAGATATTTGTGGAAAGATAAGGATGGATTGTTTTTTATTACCAGAGCTGTCTTCTGATCCATATGCAAGGTAGAAATCAAAGAGTGGCTGAAGATTAGAAGAAAGAGCTCCTGGTTTGTCAGAATAATCCCTGCAACTATTTAAAGTCACACAGACTCATCCTTTAAGAGTTTTTGGAGAAATTTAAAATTCACAGGTCCTAAATATAGATTTTAATGCTGGGTGTGAAACTACATTAGCTTAATTAGTGTAGACTAGTTCCTCATTTATTAGGTTAAATCATTGGCATATACCATCTGATTCAGATGGTATATTAGACAGTGAAATAATTAATGTTGCCAGTTTGATTAAAACAAAGTTAACTGACATTTGCATTTGCAGCCTCAACAAAAGAGCCCAGTCATGATGTAATAAATAACATTTAATAAATAAATTCAGAGGCAGTAGCTTATTAGAAGTGTTGGAATTGTATAGTACCCGGTGGAGCTTTTGACCACCAGTGATGTTGATGTGAGCAGGTACCCGTTCTGATATTGCAATTGCAATTTGTGATGATGGTGTCATTTTTTGCGGGGATCTGTACCACAGATAGGGACTCGAGTTTGAGACTCAGACGCACAGTGACTTGAGACTGGACTTGAGACTCATCCTTAAAAGACTTCAGACTTGACTCGGACTTGAGGTGGGGGACTCGTGAACAATGTTTATTTTTAGGAAACATCTGATGAGCGTGCCGTTATTCCTCTCCCTGCGTTACCTGTAACCTACCAACGTAACGCAACTACGTATCTGCTGCGCACGGCCGCACGGGAGAGAGGACGACAAACACTGGCAGCTGCTCAGCCATTCATCGGAAACTTTGGCTTTAAAACAACAAGACCCAAACAAAGAAGCGCTCAGTGCAACATGGCCTTTTATTGTGGC